AGCGTTGTGAGCGGTGGAGGTGGTGGGGACGTCGTCGTTGCTATTGCCGTCATCGTGTTGTTCCTGGAAATTTTAGCAAATTATTGAATCAATTAGCAGTAAAATAGACAAATGGCAAATTTACCTCAACTTCAGTGACTGCGGCGGGCACCTTGAGGCCACTGCGGAGCTGGAAGCCAGACCGACGGTGACGCTGGGTCGAGGTTGAGGAGGCAGTCGATTTGGCTGGAAATTGGTGGCACCACGGAGCAGGGTATTTGTATTATATTTATCCAGTATTGCATACTTGTACTCATTTTTAAGAGAGTCATTTTTGGCCAATTGTAAATTAAACCTAGTCAAAAGTTACTTTTCCGTTCAATGCAAATCAAGCCGAATTCGTGTCTAATTAGTAGGCAAAAGTAAAAATATTAACAAGGGAATGCCAACCGGGTGTGGTGGCCGAACGACACGAGGCATCTAGCATTTGACGCGGAATTTCACGCTGATTCCGAATCTGCTGATGAGCACTCTGCCAAAGGTTATAAGCGTGCAAAGACAAAGTAATAAGGTAATTTTATCAAAGAATGGATGAAAAGGCAAAAAGAGTGAAGCGGTAAGAGATAGTAAATAATTCTCAGCTCAATTCTGCGATCTTGTCTCCTCTTTTCTCCTCTTTTCTCTTTCTCGTTCCTATGGAATGTAGTTCTATCACAGAATTTACCGAAAATTTTCCTTTTTCTGCGCAAATTCAACGTTGCAAAATAGGGATTTTTCTTCTGGATCTTGTCCGGAAACGAAAAATAGTTTCTTGTCGAAATTTTTGTAACCAAGCTATCACTTTTATTTTGTGAATTGACCAAAATCTTAAAAAACCCAAAAACCTCAATGAACCGTGGATTACAGAGTTGCAAACAAAATGTGAGCCAAACACCCAAAATCAAATTCTAAATGACAACCTCGTGGGCTACAGTATCAATTGATGGGGTAAAGGGGAGATTTCGCGATTGAAACAATGAAACAAACAAAACAAACAATTGAAACAAAAACAAATCCATTTGATGAGCGTCGAGATGGATGATCGTGATAGTCGGGATGACGAGCGCGAATGCTACGAGGATCGAGTCTTGATCATGAAATTCGCTGAATCAAGGCCTCTGCCATTTTATTTCTTCTCACATAAAGTCCTTCTCCTGTCCCAGGTTGAACGATGTTCCGTTTTGAAAATTTCAAAGGCTGGATGGGGGTTCATTGATAGGAAGCAACTTTCGGCACTCAAGAAGGCCTTCGCCAATTTGAAACAAGTCGACGAGTTGAAAGTTCAGATTTATGAAGACAATTTCAACGATTGTTTGTGGAATTTAAAAGCTGAAGTCACCGATCGAGCATCATTGGGGTTTTACGATTCACAGGGAGGGATACATCAACAACTTATGTTGTCTTTGATCAATGGAGGTCTCCAGAATTGCAAAATGATCTCAATGAATCTTTATCGTGATCCTGATTTTTATCCAACAGTTTATTCGGCACTTTCGAAGACTCAACTTGAGTTATTTGTGACTTGGGCTATTTTTGGAAATATCAAATTGAACAAATCGGCAATTGAGTTGGTTCTGAATTCCGGAATTCCGAGTGAAAATAAAGAAGCCGCTTGTTTCATGCGAGGTATAATGGCAGTTGAAATTAACAATCTGATCAAGAGCTTTCCTGAAATTCGTCAGGTCAACGAACCAAACACGACTTTCATCAGGGATACAATGACGGAGACACTGAGAAAACACAGGTATATTATTCAGGGTTGTGATCATTCTGTTTCTGATCATTCTCGTCCTGATTCTGATCATTCTCTTACTTCTATGGATCGTATTTCAATCAAGAGCAGTGTTGAGCATTATGTTTCTCTTGATGGCCCATTCGATTGCTATTTGAAAAGGATCGACGAGAAGCGTGACTGTATCTATTTTGTACGCCATGACTTTTTTCTTCGCCAAATATGTTTCATCGATTCAATTCTAACTTTGTTTGTTGATGCCCCAATACTTTGTATTTTTCCAGGTTACATTTATGACAGCACTTATTTAGTCTATGACACCTACTTCGACTTCTTTGCCAAAAATGTGCCTGTCGAAATTTGAATTTTTGAGGACGAGATTTTATTTGGTGATATTTTATTGTGATATGTGAGTACTGTTTTGTGATTTTTCCACCTTTTGCTCTGTCTATGCATAAATAAATGCTTGATTCAATCAATAAAATCAAATGTAATAGCGTTCGACTTTAACGGCGCATGTATTTATTGAAGAGTTTGACTTGGTTTTAAACTTTAGGGACGCCAATAGACTTTTGATACGTTTTTGGATCGAATTGGTCACCGTTGAATATACGTGAAGAGAGGAGATCGCGGAATTGAGCTGAAATATTGTTTACCACCTCTTGGTGTCGCATTATGGCCTTACTCTTTTTGCCTTTTGTTCCATGGTTTTCGTAAAAAGATCACAAGAAAGGGCTTGATGACAGAGTAACAAGCAAATTTTAGGAGAATGACATTCATTTAAAGTGCTAATAGCTAGGCAAGGCATTAAAGTGTCATTGTCATATGTTTTTAAGGCGTATTGGCTTGTTAACTTGTTCAGTTTCTTTGAGTGAAGTTATCAACTCGAATGCCGTAAATAGTCACAAGTAGCGCTTGAGGCCAAAAAACTTATTTTTTATTTAACTTTTTCAATGCCAGAACGCATTTTTTAGATTTCGTGGAGGGGCGAGGGTAAACGTTCAAAATATATATAACTCATCCAGAAAACAACAAATAGCACTTGTTTTGCATCAAAATTTTGACACTGAAGAATAAGTAACAATTGGATGCATTGCAGATGAGATTCTTGGTTGAATGAACAGCTCGATTCCAGAGCCCGTTAGCATATAATGAGGCCATTGACTACCCATCTTAAATGAATAACTCGACAACTAACTTATGGACAAGAGAAATGGAGATGATGAATTGGTAGACGAGACAGAGTATCAATCCGATCCCAAACACCAAAAAGATGGCTTGTTAGCTGAAGACGGCTCGGATGGAGGAAAAGTCGTTAGTGCAGCTGAACGTTGTAACGTTGGAAAGGGTGATGAAGCCGAGGAAAAGAAAACTTAGTTGTTGCACTTTTTCCATATTCAATATCGATATTCACCTTTTCCACAAGGCGAGCCGTCTTCAGCTAAAAAGCCATCTTTTTGGTGTTTGGGATCGGATTGATACTCTGTCTCGTCTACCAACTCATCATCTCCATTTCTCTTGTCCATAAGTTAGTTGTCGAGTTCTTCATTTATCATATGTAGTCAATGGTATCATTATATGCTAACGGGCTCTGGAATCGAGCTGTTCAATCAACCAAGAATCTCATCTGCAATGCATCCAACTGTTACTTATTCTTCAGTGTCAAAATTTTGATGCAAAACAAGTGCTATTGTTGTTTTCTGGATGAGCTATACATATTTTGAATGTTTAGCCTCGCCCATCGTCACTCAACGAAATCCAAAAAATGAGTTCTGGCATTGAAAAAAGTTAAGGTAAAAAAATGACTTCCTTGGCTTCAAGCATTACTTGTGACTATTTGCGGCATTCGAGTTGATAATTTCACTCAAAGAAACTCAAAGCTTCAAGCTTCACTCACTCGATGCTTTGATGCCTTGCCTAGCTATAAGCACTTCAATCGCCAAATGGCTGTGATTATCCTCAGACTTCTTTGTTACCCTAGCTTGAGGCCCTTCCTCTGTTATATTGAGCTCAATTCTCCGATCTCCTCTCTTCACGTATGTTCCGCAGAAGCCAATTCGATCAAAAATGTATCATAGCTTCATTGGCGTTTCTGAAGCTTAGAACCAATTCAAACTCTTCAATAAATACATGCAGCGTTGAAACCAAACGCTACTTCATTTGATTTTGTTGATTAGAGCGATGTATTTATTTATGCATAGACAGAGTAGAACGCTCAAGAAATCACAAAAAAATGATCACATATCACGATAAAACATCACAGACTAAAATCTCGTACTTAGAACTTCAAATTTCGACAGGCATACTTTTGGCAAAGAAGCGCAGGTAGCGATCGTTATCGTGTTTGTAAACGATGTAGATGCAATCCCGTTCGCTATCAATGCTTTTCATATGAGAATGGATAGGTTTAATTCTTGAGTCGGTTTCGTTTTGTGCAGTTGAAAAGTTTTTGAGAGTTTCGAGCATCATTTTCCAAGTTTTCGCTTTCCTTTCTTCGTCGACTTCTCGAATTCCGGGCCAATTTGTGAAGATCTTCAAGTCAGTATTTGTAAACGTGAGCCAAATCGCTGCACCTCGATTTTGACTCGGAATTCCGTTGGTGACAATCCAACGAATCACCATTTCTGCACATTTTTGTCGGAGTGGCTCATTGATGACATCAAAAAGGATCATTTCGACTTTGGTTTTCCAGAGAAGCTTGCGAAAAAAGTAAACCTCCTCAGCACGTCCTTTCAACCAGATCTCCTTGCAATTCTTGATCCTGTTTTGGAATAAGTTCAACAGAAAGCGATAATTCTCATCATCTCCCTTCCATTGATACCAACTGAGATCCAAATAAATTCGATCGACGATGCTTCCCTTGAATATCGGCCAGTATTTGCAAAGAGTCTCATAGTTGTATTTGCCAAGAGTAGAGTAGGGTCTGATCTCACCAACCGAATCCAAACATGCGACCATTTCCGAGATCATTTTCGTTTCCACATCGGTGGGTGAATAGTTTGAATGGTTGATCAAAAAGTTCGAACAATGACGAATTTTTTTGAGGATGGCCATTTCAAATCGGAGATCAAACATCCGCGACAATTCTGGAGAAATTTTCGTTTCAATAACATAGAAGGGATGAAAGATGATCGAATTGACGTGCTTTCCGAAGATCATCCATGGTCGATAGATGAGAATAGAGCGAAATTCATTGTTGGTCCTCATCAATTCGGCAATATCCTGCGTTCCCATTTCCTCCACCACTTCAAGTTTCAGGTCGTAGCAGAGTTTGCTCATCGGGAAGTTGAGAAGATTGGGCATCTCGACTGGAAGTTCTGCCATTGCCTGAAAATTAAAAGATTGGAAAAGAACAATCAGTAAATATATAGCAGAAAAGTTGGCTACAAAAGAAAAACAATCAACAAGGCGGGGACAAATGTCTCTTTTTGCAAGAGCCCAGAAGTATCCACTCGTTTACTTGGTGATCGTCATTATTTTTGGTTATGTTTTTGGACTCGGCTGGTTGAGAGACTATTGGGGTAGTTTGAGTTTCATTTACGGTCAACGGTTACGGTTCGTTTAGGGGACCGAAGTCTTTTGGTATGCCACTATTGCTTTCCATTGATCTTTCAATGTATGTGAAGTTGCAAGTAAGAGAGATACGTTTAGTTAGAGCATAAACTAGCATTTTTCAAAGAAGACCACAAAAATCTCATCGGAAGCGGAGAGGCTGCTGATTGCACAGGTAAGCGTACCCAGGTTGAACAGATGTAAAGATAGCATGAGTCACAACGAGAGGAAACCACACAGGAAACCTTCGGCTTATAGCCCCAGGAGACCGCCATCGAGTTGCGCATCCGTAGTAGACATGAGCGTGAGGCGAAATTTTTATGGGACGGAATGGGATGAGTGTTTTTCAATTCATCGATTACTTCCAAAGCCAGATCGTAGCAGAGTTTGCCCATCGGGTAGCTGAAAGGGTTGGGCATCTCGACTGGAAGCTCTACCATTCTGCCTGAAAATTGAAAAATTAGAAAAGAACAATCAACTATCTGACAGAAAGGTTGGCTATCAAACAAAAACAATCAACAAGGTGGGGACCAATGTCGGCTAAAGTTTGTTCATATCTTTAATTTCTCTAAAACTTGTGATAATCTTTAGTGCATAAACAACAATAAACAAAGCTTTACATCTAAAAGGAACTAAAATTGATTCAAATGATTTAAACAGTCGCTCTTTTTAAGCAAAAACGTGTCGTAGACCAAAAATAGCTGATTTGTCATCGAAACGATGCTTAAAACTAGTAAGATCTGCGCCTGAAAAGATATAAAAGTCTATTCTAACAAGGAATCACTCAAAAAGGGCAAAATATGGCAGAAAAGATCACCCATAGCTTTCGGGGAGAAGTGAAGAATGATTTCCCCAAGCCCAAAATTTCCCTTTGACCCTATCAATTGGCACCGTAGCTCACGAGGTTGTCTTTTAGAATTCGAATTTGGGTGCTGGGCTCATATTTTGTTCACAACTCGTAATCCATGTTTCATTGAGGTTTTTGAGTTTTTCAAATTTTTTTTTCAATTCACAAAAGAAAAGTGACAGCTTGGTTACAAAACTTTCGAAAATAAGCCATTTTGCGCTTCCGGACACGATTCAGAAGAAAAACCCCTATTTTGCAAGGTTGGATTTGCGCAAAAAAGGTGAAATTTTTGGTAAATTCTATGTCCCGTAAATACTGCGATAGAACTTCACTCCATAGGAACGAGAAAGAGAAGAGAGGAGACAAGATCGCAGAATTGAGCTGAAAATTATGTACTATCTCTTGGCGTCGCATTACCGCTCCACTCTTTTTGCCTTTATTTTCCCATTCTTTGATAAAATTACCTTATGACTTTTACTTTGCAGCTGATAACTCTTGACCGGGTGCTCATCGGCAGATTCGGAATCGACGTGAAATTCGGCGTCGAATGGTAGATGGTTCGTGTGATTCGGCCACGACGCCCGGTTGGCATTCCCCTTGTTAATATTTTTACTTTCCCTACTAATTAGACACGGATTCGGGTTGGTTTGCATTGAATGACATCTTCCAAACGATAAATTCATCGGTAAGAGCTTTCGATGGACCAACAATCTCTCAATTCATGCCCCATGGATTGAAAAGAAGAAACAACTGAATGGGCAAGAGATTCTCATTCAAATTGCCGGACAACTAAAGGAAACAGGAACAATCGAGAATTAACAGCATCCAAAACTCTCAACTACCCTAATCGAACTTTCTCTTTGCCTCATTTTTCTGTGCTACTTTTTTTGATTTGAAAAATGTTTCTCAACTCACATTTTTAGTGCAATTTTTGCTGGGTGATTTTGCTTATGTGAATATTTTAATAAATTATAGTATTTTTAGTTCAAAAGACAACAAAACACGTGCGCAAACAAAATAAACATTCAAAATATGTATAACATCATCCAGAAAACAAGAATAGCGCTAGTTTTGCTTCAAAATTTCAACACTGAAAAATACGAAAAAAATGCGCTATTGTTGTTTTCTGGATGAGTTATACATACTTTGAACGCTTACCCTCGCCCCTCCACGAAATCTAAAAAATGCGTTCTGGCATTGAAAAAGTTAAATAAAAAAATAAGTTCTTTGGCTTCAAGCGCTACTTGTAACTATTTACGGCATTTACGAGTTGATAACTTCACTCAAAGAAACTCAAAGCTTGAAGCTGCAATCACTCGATGCTTCGAAGTCTTTTCAAAATAATTAATATCCTTAAGATTGCGAACACACTAGTGTAAGAAATCCAGATTTCTGTGGCTGAAAATAGTCACAATTACCTTATAAGCTACTTACGTTTTCAAAAGTCTATGACAGAGTTAACAAAGAAGTTCACCTTAACAACAAATGACAATGACACTTTAATGCCTTGCCTAGCTATTAGCACTTCAAATCGCCAAATGACTGTCATTCTCTTCAAATTTGTTTGTTACCCTATCATGCAGCCCTTCCTTGTGATCTTTTTATCAAAACCACGGAACAAAAGGCAAAAAGAGTAAGGCCATAATGCGACACCAAGAGATGGTAAACAATATCTCAGCTCAATTCTGCGATCTCCTCTCTTCACGTATATTCAACGGTGACCAATTCGATCCAAAATGTATCACGAGTCCATTGGTGTTTCCAAATTCAAAACAAAGTCAAACCCGTCAATAAATAGATGCAGCGTTGAAGTCGAACGCTATTACGTTTGATTTTATTGATTGAAGAATTTATTCATGCATAGACTGAGTAAAAGGTGAAAAAAAACCAGAAAATAGTACTCACACATCACAATAAAACATCACTAAACAAAATGGCGTACTCAAACTTAAAATTTCGACAGGCACATTTTTGGCAAAAAAGAGGAAGTAGACATAGACTAAATAATTGCTGCCATAAAAGTAATCCGAAAAAATACAAAGTATTGGGGTATCAACAAACAAAGTTAGAATTGAATCGATGAGACATATTTGGCGAAGAAGAAGTGAGGGCCCACAACATGAATACAGTCACGCTTCTTGTCGATTCTTTTCAAATAGCAATCAAATGGACCATCAAGATAAACATAAACCTCAATCGTTTCCATCACTGCATCCCTGATGAAAGTCTTGTTTGGTTCATTGACCTGACGAATTTCAGGAAAGTTCTTGATCAAATTGCGAATTTCAACTGCCATTTCAACTTGCACGATACAAGCGGCTTCTTTATTTCCACTTGGAATTCCCGAATTCAGAATCAACTCAATTGTTAATTTGGGATTGTCGAAATAGGCCACCTTAGTCACAAATAACTCAAGTTGCGTCTTCGAAAGTGCCGAATAAACAGTTGGATAAAAATCAGGATCAGAATAAAGATCCATTGAGATCATTTTGCAATTTTGAAGGCTTCCATTGATCAGAAACAATAGAAGTTGTTGATGTATCTCTTTCCGTAAATCGAAAAACCTCAACGATGCTCGATTGGTGACTTCAGCTTTTAAATTCCACAAACAATCGTTTAAATTCCCATTAAATTTCACGAGGAATTTCACGAGGAAGACTATATCCTCACATCCATAGCAACCGCCCTCGTCATCCAGACTTTCTGCACGACCCATCTCGACCCTAATCAAATGGATTTGCTTTCCAAAGATCCGTGCTGGTTTCTGGAGAAGAATCCATCGAAACCTTCTGTCAACTTTCATCAATGCGGGCACATCTTTTGGCTCCAATGCCTCGATTACTTCCAAAACCAGATCGTAGCAGAGTTTGTCCATGGGAAAGTTGAGAAGATTGGGCATCTCGAGTGGAAGTTCTGCCATTCTGCCTGAAAATTGAAAAATTGCAAAAGAACAATCAGTGAATATATGGCAGAAAAGTTGCTACAAAACAAAGACAACCAACAAGGTGGGAAGAAATGCTGGTTTTAGCTAAAGCTTGATAAAATCTTTATATCTCTAAAAATTGTGATGATCTTTAGTGCATAAACAACACTAATCAAAGTTTTACATCTAAAAGGAGCTAAAATTGACTCAAAATATTTCAACAGTCGCTCTTTTTAAGCAAAAACGTGTCGTAGACCAAAAATAGCTGATTTGTCATCAAAACAAGGCTTAAAATTAGTAAGATCTGCGCTTAGAAAGATATGAAAGTCTATTCTAACAAGGGACAACTCAAAAAGCTCAAAATATGGCAGAAAACATCACCAATGACTTTCGGGGAGAAGAGAAGAATGAATTCCAGGCGCAAAATATCCGTTTTACCCCATCAATTGGTACCGTAGCCCCTGAGGTTGTCTTTTAGATTTCGAATTTGGTTGTTTGACTCACATTTTGTTTGCAACTCGTCAGCCATGGTTTCATTGAGGGTTTGTGATTTTTAAATTTATATCAATTCACAAAAGAAAAGTGACAGCTTGACAACAAAAATTTCGGCAATAAACCATGTTAGAAAGGAAAAGTAACTTTTGATAAGATTAAATTTACAATTCCCCAAAAATTACACATTTCGGACGGTTTTTGGCTCAACCGAAACCAAAACCACGTTGGGTTCAAAGGGAAATTCTGGCTGATGTCTGATAAAAGTTGTTGTCTTACCTCTTCCCTCCAATAATCAATCTTCACTGATGCTCGATCGATGACTTCAGCTTTGAAATTCTCCAAATACTTGTTGAATTTGTTTCAATAAATCCTCACATCCAACTCGTGGACTGAATCTGGCGAAGAAGTTTACTATAGGCACTAACCGATTCCATCTAAACGTCGAAATATTGAGCAAGCAAAAACGTGTCCCGTCCTTTCAAGCATAGATTCCGCGTCGCCGATCTAAAGTAAATGACCCTTTGATTAAAATGTACGATCTAAAAGGTGGGGTTAGGAAAAAGCTACCGTAATCGCGATCTGATGTTCCTGCCATTTCCGCTTTTTGCTTATTCTTGATTTGAGAATTTGAGGGAAAAAAACGGCAATTCACCATTCTTGATTTGATCCTCATCCTTAAGTACGATATCTTTTTGCCTAAACTCCAACGGTCAACCTGTCTATTAGCATGTGAAAAGCATTGATGGTAAACGGGAATGCATCTAAATTCTTTGCAAACTCTATGACACGTTTGGCTTCAACTACCTTCGCTTCTTTGCCAAAAATGTGCCTGTCGAAATTTGAGGTTGTGAGTGCGAGATTTTAGTTTCTGATGTTTTATCGTGACATGTGAATACGATTTTGTGTTTATTTATTTTTCAGTGTTGAAATTTTGAAGCAAAACTAGAGCTATTGTTGTTTTCTGGATGATGTTATACATATCTTGAATGTTTATTTTGTTTGCGTACGTGTTTTGTTGTCTTTCGAACTAAAAATACAATAATTTATTAAAGTATTCACAAAAGCAAAATCACACAGCAAAAATTACACTAAAAATGTGAGTTGAGCAAGATTTTTCAAATTAAAAAAAGTAGCACAGAAAAATGAGGTAAAGAGAAAGTTCGATTAGGGTAGTTGAGAGTTTTGGATGCTGTTAATTCTCGATTGTTCCTGTTTTCTTTTGTTGTCCGGTAATTTGAATGGGAATCTCTTGCCCATTCAGTTGTTTCTTCTTTTCAATCAATGGGGCATGAATTGAGAGATTTCCATGTTGATCGAGTGATGATTGAAGTGACGAGAGATCGATTTGATCTACGGGAATTCGAATGGAACGTTGCAAACGGAGGTGGACGGAGCCCTGAAATATGTGGGGTTGCATGGGGTGAAGAAAGGAACGCTTTTCTAGAATAACTACCATCAAATTTTATGGTTAAGCATTAAGATTAAGGTTCTTCAATTTGAATAGACCATACTCTGTAATTAACTTTAATTTTTCACCTGTTCATTCTCCTCTTTGTGCTCTCCTTCAATCAACAAAACATCCCCGTCCAATCGCAATTTCAATTCATCGGGTTTATACGAGGAGACGTCGCATTTCACGGAGAAACCCTCGTCACTCAACGAAATCTAAAAGGTGAGTTCTAGTCTTGAAAAAGTTCAGTAACCTTATCAGCTACTCACGTCTTCCTGGAAAACATACCATTTCTTGTTGTTGAAGGTCTCGATGGATTGATGGTCCATCGAAAGCCCTTTCCAATGATTCGATCGTTTCGAAGATGTCATTGAAGGGATGTCGACGGCGGAATGGACTACAGAAATTGCTCGACGGAAAAAGAAGAAGTGACATTTGGAAGCGTGAGGGTAGTTGTCGATAGGAAGATGTGTTGATTTGAGTTGATGACTGCTGGAGTGAACCGTCGGTTTATATAGGATTCGATGGGGTTTCCGGGAGTTTCTCGAAGATTCTGGAAACGGAGTCGGCACTTGTTTTCCCCTTCCCCTCTTTTGCCTCTTTCGAAAAGAACCTTTCTCGAAGTCTCTCGAAATCACTCGATATTTCGTCTCTTTCTGGCTTTCTCGCGTTTTTTCTTCTTCTTTTCGTTCTCCTTTTGTAGCTGCTCATCTCTCTTCTCTTTTGGACTATTAGAAGACCCTTCATTTCAATCTCTGTTCAACCTCTTTCAATGTTCTTCTCTTGGCATAAGTGGAACGATGTTCAGTTCTTAAAATTTTTGAAAACTTGACCATTTAACAAGTAGCATGTTACGACATTCATCTTGACAAGGAGCTTTCGGAACTCAGGAAGATCTTCGCCGGATTGAGTTCACGAGTTGGATGTGAGGATCTATGGAAACAAATTGAACAAGTATTTGGGGAATTTCAAAGCTTTCGGTTGAACCCAAAACAATCCGAAATGTGTCATTTTTTGGCTAATTGTAATTTGAACCTAGGCAAAAGTAAAAATATTAACAAGGGGATGGCAACCGGGCGTGGTGGCCGAATGACACGAGCCATCTACCATTCGACGCGGAATTTCAAGCTGATTCCGAATCTGCTGATGAGCACTCTGTCAAAAGTTATAAGCGTGCAAAGTCAAAGTAATAAGGTAATTTTATAAAAGAATGGAAAAAAAGGCAAAAAGATTGAAGCGGTAATGTGACGCCAAGAAATAATACATAATTTTCAGTTCAATTCTGCGATCCTGTCTTCTCTTTCTCGTTCCTACGGAGTGAAGTTCTATTGCAGTGTCTACGGTACATAGAATTTACCAAAAATTCCACCTTTTTTGCGCAAAACCAACCTTGCAAAATAGGGGTGTTTTTCTTTCGAGTCGTGTCTGGAAGCGCAAAATAGCAAAATATTTCCCAAAGTTTTGTGGCCAAGCTGTCACTTTTCTTTCGTGAATCGACAAAAATTTAAAATTCCCGAAAATCTCAATGAAAACATGGATTACAGAGTTGCAAAAGAATGTGAGCTGAGAATTATTTACTATCTCTTGGCATCGCATTACCGCTTCAATCTTTTTGCCTTTTTTTCCCATTCTTTGATAAAATTACCTTATTACTTCTACTTTGCGGGCTTATAAGTTTTGACAAAGTGCTCATTAGCAGATTCGGAATCAGCGTGAAATTCCGCGTCGAATGGTAGAGGGCTCGTGTCATTCGGCCACCACGCCCGGTTAGCATCCCCTTGTTAATCTTTTTACTTTTGCCTAATAATTAGACACGGTTTCGGGTCGGTTTGCATTGAACGGAAAAGTAGCTTTTGACTAGGTTCAATTCACAATTCCCCAAAAATGACGGTTTTAGGTTAAACCGAAACCGAAACAACGTTTGGTTCAAAGGGAAATTCTGTGCTAATGCGCGCTGTGAGTAGCAGTCTTATCTTTCAGCTGTGTCTTCGGTTTCCAGCTCAGAGTGTATCTGCATCCTATACAGGAATTATTATCATTGAACTTCATTCGTAAAAAGGCTAACAAGGGAATGGTCCACAGTAAACCCCATATTTTTACAGGCCCATCGGATGGAATGGAGTGGAGACGCCGGCGTGTCGGGTCTGAGTTCGCGGTGATAAAATATCACTCTGGTGATAGAGTAATTTCGCAACGATTTTATTGGGAAACCCAAGGATACAAACTTTGCAATTTTGCAAGAAAATCATTGTTATCGGCTTGTTTTGGTCACTTTAGAAGCTTCGCCCACTTGCTGATATCGGGAGGCGAGGCCATGCCCCCTTTGCCCTATCCAGTTTCCCCCATTCCGCCCCCATTAAATAACATTTGGCATTTTTGCTTATTTGCCCTGAATCTATGCACTAGATTACCCCAAAAATGCATCGATTTACGACGGATATCAGCCCTTTCTTCATTGTTTCTATCCTCTAATTATTTTGCTTTTCCTCAAACTGAGTTACAGAAGTGAGTGTGAGGATGCCAGACTATTGCGATGAATGCAGTGCACCAACAGACGCGTTGACTGATTGGTTCTCAAATGACGGCGAAGAATCTGCCATTATTTGTTCGCAATGCCTTGCAGCACACCAACCAGACTTTTTCAATTATCAAAAAAGGGAATGACAATTTTCAATGCTAATTTATTTTTTGATGTTCTTTCTTTTTGATGTTGACATAAAAATTGTTTCAGTGGAAAAAAGTTTCCAAATAGAGATATCCGCAAAATAGTTTTGAGAGTCTCCCGTTGAGCCCTTGGAAAAACTCAGAAACTAGGGCTTTTCAAATCTGCAAACGACCATTTTGTAGAGGAAGAATTAGGCTTTCTTTAAAAAAAATATCAGCTCGATTGGACCCTTTGCTTGCTAAAAGAAATTCGAATTGATTTCATTTTCATTGCCTAGTCTATAATTTATCTCCCCAATCCCACATCAAAAATGACAAACGGATTTGATGATTGCCTTTTCCGCTTTTTCTTTTACTTATTTAAGGACTCTTTCTTTCTTCTCGCGGAAATAAAATGATGACGAATGGAAAAGAGAAATTCAGCAACAAAACAACAACTGATAATGAAAATTTTTGTAAGAAAAATGGGTAGCTAGTCAAAGGATGCAGATACACTCTGAGCTGGAAACCCGAAGCCAAAGCTGGCAAAGACAAGACTGGTACTTACAGCGGGCATTAGCACAGAATTTCCCTTTGATCCAAACGTTGTTTCGGTTTCAGTTTAACCTACAACTGTCATTTTTGGCTAATTGCAAATTGAACCTAATCAACAGTTACTTTCCCTTCAATGCAAACCAACCCGAATCCGTGTCTAATTAATAGGCAAAAGTAAAACTACTAACAATGGAATGCCAACCGGGCATGGTGGCCGAATGACACGAGCCATCTACCACTCGACGCGGAATTTCACCCTGATCCCGAATCTGCTGATGAGCACCCTGTCAAAAGTTATAAGCGTGCAAAGTAAAAGTAATAAGGTAATTTTATCAAAACAATGGAACAAAAGGCGACAAATGTGAAGCGGTGATGAGATAGTAAACAATATTTCAGCTCAATTCTGAGATGTCCTCTTTTCACGTATGTTCAGCGGAGACGAATTCGATCCAGAATGTATTCGAACCACGAATTCGATCACCAGTCCATTGGCGTTTCCTAGAAAGCCTAGAACCAAATCAAACTCTTCAATAAATACATGCAGCGTTGAAGTCAACGCTATTACATTTGATTTTATTGATTGAACCAAGTATTTATTTATGCATAGACAGAGCAAAAGGTGGAAAAAAAATCACAAAATAGTACTCACATATCACAATAAAACATCACCAAAGCAAATCTCGTTATCAAAACAGAAGCTAGAATTGAATCGATGAAACATATTTGGCGAAGAAAAAGTTATGGTTCACAACATAAATACAGTCACGCTTCTCGTCGATTCTTTTCAAATAACAATCAAATGGACCATCAAGATAAACACAATGCCGAATCCGTCTCTCGATTGGACTAAGATCCATTGAATGAAGAGAATGATCAGAATCAGAACGAGAATCCTCAGAAACAGAACCAGAATGCTCTGAAACAGAACCAGAATGATCAGAATCAGAAAGAGATTCAGCAGAGACAGAAACAGAACGAACACGAGAACGAGAACGATCACAACACCCAACCATAAACCCGTGTTTTCTCAGGGTTTCTATCATTGTATCCCTGAAGAAAGTCTTGTTTGGCTCATTGACCTGACGAATTTCAGGAAAGTTCTTGATCAAAGTGTGAAATACAACTTCCATTCTACCTCGCACCAAACAAGCGGCTTCTTTATTTTCACTCGGAATTCCGGAATTCAGAATCAACTCAATTGAATTCAGATCAACATATCCAAAAGAACCCCAAGTCACAGATAACTCAACTTGAGTCTTCGAAAGTGCCGAGTAAACTGCTGGATAAAAAACAGAATCATGATCAAGATCCATTGAGATCATTTTGCAATTTTGAAGGCTTCCATTGATCAAAGACAACACAAGTTGCGGATGTGTCTCTCCCCGTGAATAGGAAAAATTCAATGATGCTCGATCGGTGACTTCAGCCTTTAAATTCCACAAAAAATCGTCGAAATTGTTCTCCCTGATCTCAACTTTCAACTCATCGACTTGTTTCAAATTGGCGAAGGCCTTCTTGAGTGCCGAAAGTCTCCCAGCAAGCCAGTTTCCCCATTCAGCTGATTCTGAAATGATCAAAACCGAACATCGTTCAACCTGTGACAGGAGAAGGACTTTATGTGATACGAAATAAAATGGAAGAGGCCTTGATTCAGCGAATTTCATGATGAAGACTCGATCTTGGTAGCGTTTGCGCTCGTCATCCGGACTTCCTCGACCATCCATCTCGACGTTAATCAAAAGGACTTGTTTGCCAAGAATCCGTGCTGGTTTCCGAAGAAGAATCCATCGAAACCTTCTGTCAACTTTCATCAATTCGGGCACATCTTTTGGTCCAATTCATCGATTAACTTCCAAAACCAGATCGTAGCAGAGTTTTCCCATCGGGAATTTGAGAAGATTGGGCATCTCGACTGGAAGTTCGGCCATTCTACCTGAAAATTGTAAAATTACAAAAGAACAATCAGTAAATATCTGGCAGCAAACTTGAATACAGAGCAAAAACAGTCAACAAGGTGGGGAAAAATGCGGGTTTTTAGCTAAAGTTTAATAAAATCTTTGATTTCTCTAAAACTTGTGATGATCTTTGGTGCA